CCTTCTCTCTACTCTTACACTGCTAGATTAGGGACGGCTAGCGCAGATAGCCCTCGTGCAGCTTTGCGCGAAATTCAAAACAAACAAACTTAGCCCGTATAGATCAAAGGGTACCTGTCCGTGTTAAAACTATTGATGAACTTCCGCTACTAGCAGCTAATATGTGCATTAGTTGTTACTCTATTATTACGTAACAGATGACGTAGTATATATATATATTAACTTTACCATAGTAGCTATTAATTTGCAATCCTTATTAAAAGCCCCCCAGTGGCACAGCGGTATGTCTGCGGACTTACAACGCTAGAAACCGGGTTTCGATACCCGTGGTGGGCAGAGCACAGATAGCCCTTGTGTAGCTTTGTGCATAATTAAAAACAAACAAACAAACAAACAAACCTTATTAAAAAATTTTGGTAATAAAATAAAATAAAATGAAACGTTCTTTACTTCCCTGGTTATAATAATAGTTTTTTATCTCAGCCAACGTTTCACCCTTGAGGCTTCATCAAGTCTATTAGTACAATAACTTTGTTAACAAATGAGTTACACACTTATTGTAACATAAACCATTCTTTCATACATTTTTTGGCGCATTAAAATAACTTTCATTTACGAAGTCGAACACTGACTTTCAAAACAACGCTATTATTGTGATATATAAGTTGTTTGTTTGTTTGTTTGAAGTTAAACACAAAGCTACACAATGGGCTATCTGTGCTCTGACCATCACGGATATCGAAACCCGTTTTCTAGCCTTGTAAGTCCGCAGACGTACCGCTGTGCCACTGGAAGGCGTGATGTATATATGTCGCAAACATATTGCACAGAGCTTCAGTTGTTTTGAAACCGATCAGAATTCCCACTTTGTATACCCGCTATTTAATTATCTTTATGGAATAACATACTTACGTCTAACATTGTAGATACATTAATTTGATTTATGGGATATCATTTATGTCGAACCACCAATATTTGTGATCGATCGGATGCGTCTGAAACACTCTTCACATTTTACAAGATGTAGAATAACTTAAAATAACGTATTTTTAGATTGTTATGCAGTGCGCATGAGTCAATTAAATGTCATAGGTACCATAATATAAGTGAAATCTTTTGTACAGCTACCAAATATTGGGTTCTATCAACAAGCTATAGTTAGTTACTAATTCAATGAGTTTCATTGGAGATATGGCCTCGTCATGTATGTGTTTTTATAGCAAAGCCACAATGGACTATCTACTGTGTCCACCGAGGGGACTCGAACCCCTGATTTTAGCGTTGTAAATCCGAAGACTTATCGGTGTTCCACAGGGAGACGCTTCGTCGTGTAACAGAGAGAACAAGGGTATTTTAAGTTTTGGCCCAGTTTCACACTGAATAAACGAAGACCGAATATTTACTGCATTTGCTATTCTTTCCTTACATTCTCGTTTTATATCATATACAAAACATAACGCCCATGAAAGAGAAGAGGATCGATTTATGTGTGTCTCCAGAAACTGCGTGCAACGTAATTCCATTCAGTTTTTTTTAAATAAAATATCATTAGAATCGTGTTAAAGGTAGTCATTATACCCACAAGTTATTTACAAGACTTCTTCCTAAAAAGTGGAATGATAACTATATCCTTGGTTTGGCTCTAATACCTTCGAGTTTTTTTCATCAACTTCTATACTCTAGTGGATATAAATGTGATTTCATTATTACTCACATGAAAGATTCTTAAATATTTCAGTAAGAATAATATGAAAGGATAAAACCGGTTATCCACTGAAGCAGTATAAGTTCATATAAGTAGCTCAAGTTTGAAACCGCGTGGGAAGATAAAGTTATATCAAACACTGTTAATTAAAACAATAACATTGTCTCAAAAAAACATATACTATCACTAACTGAATTCAGCAATCTTAAAGGACATAGAATTTTATGAGCCCATTTAAATGAATGAACAGAATGATACACAAACATCTTTATGATTTTAGATTGGTTAGCCACTTTGGTATGTTTTTTTTTTTAGATTTAACACCCGTATTCTAATTCATTTTATTTTTTGTTTGTTTATTGTTAAACACAACGCTGCAAAAAAGCCTATCTATATTGTGCTCAATGCAAGGATTGACCCCCAAACTTTAACGTTCTATATAAACCATCAACTTGACTGCTGAGACATCCGGACAAATTGGATACTACAGTTTTGAATAACTTTTGGCTCTCATCAGTTTAATTAAGCCGATGTAACGAAACTCTTCAACATTAGAAACAAGTAAATTGTTAGCTCTGAAATGCAGAGCATTAATTGCGAAATGCCTAATTTATTTGTAGTCTTTATAGTATTTACAAGATTTTTATAAGGTTAGGTGAAAGGAACATCAGTTGAAGTTGAGAGAGGTGAGAAAGCGGCCGCCTTCCTAAGTTCAACCGGTATGGAGACTACAAGGCCCTTTATTATTATGAAACGTTATAATCTGATACATTGGAAACAGATGCAAGGTCAAAAAGAAAGGGATCGGTTCGGTGTGGGTTTGAGAAAGTAATATAGGAGACTGGAGTTTAACAGAAGAGAGAAAACTGGGCAGATGTGAGAGAGGGAACGAATAAACCGATAGAGGCAAAGGAAGATAGTGATATACTGCTATTAAGAAACAAAACCTATTTCTAAATATATGTGTTATTGATTACCAGTAATAAACATCAATTTGTTATGCTTATATTGGTATGAGTCAAATCCTGATAGGAATAAGTACAACCTAAATGATATCGATAACGAAAGAAGTGAAAGCGAAGTGGGAGAATAGTACGATCATAACAAAGACCTAAACACTGTTTACAGTAAGTAGCTATTAAAGCAAGTAATTTAGTAAATCGTTACAGATAAATACTGATTTTAAATTTGGTCTTTGTTGAAAATAATTGAACCTTATCACAACATTGAGCTCATATTCGCGAATATCAGTATCATAAAACTGACCAAAGGGTGGTCGCTTTAAAGCCAAGGTAATTGGTGAACTCTAGGCTCGAATCTTCATTACTCTTTGTAAGATAAATGTTTGGATGAGTTGAGGATAAATCACACGTACATTATGGTGGCCAAATATTTAGACCTAGTACCCTTTACAAACTGTGTTATTTATTCAGAATGTCATTATAACGTTGTATTTATTAGGTTATCAGACTATGGTTATCTGAATTGAGCACTTAACACTTTCCTAAATACCAGAGTCGTGGCTGGTTTGAGTTAAAGTTTTTTCCTATCAAGCTTGTTTGTGTATTAGATAATACTTGACTTCCATCAGACTAGAAGAAGACAAATTATTTTCTTGTGTTGAATGAGATATGATATGAACTCGTGTACACTGTGTAATTTTTTTTTCATTTAATTTTGTGTTTTATTTTTAGTCTTATATTTTGTATACATTTACCAAATGTGTAAACAGGAGGAACCAAAGAAATTAAACAATATTATTTCACCAACTAACGTTTCAACTTTATTTTAAGGGTTACGAAAATGCACCTCAGTCCTTTTAACTGGTAACTATAAACTCTAGAATTTGAAACATGCAACTTAATAGTTTAAACATCTAAAATGATATTCCCTTATTATGTGTTCACACATCTGCTATTCAGTGTGAGCTCATAAGAATTCCTTATGAAAATAACAACAAAATATTCAGAACACAAGGAATTGAAAAAACTTTAGAATGAGGGAGGAGTGCTCTTTAACCTATTTCAGCTTCTACGTCGCTGGAGTTAGTGCAGAAAACAGGAAAAAACACTTGTGACAGCAAAGAGTGTAAATTCTACAGAAAAAAATTGCACAAAAGAGATAATAGATTACACCATGAATAACATGTGTTAAACAAGTGTGAAATAAACTTCTCACATATACCATTCCTCCTTTCAGCTTCTAAAGCAATTCTTTACAGTTGAACAACGAAAAGCGCTAAATAATCTTATGTTGACCTATTTTAGGAATACAAAAATACTCTTCTGAGAAGAATGTTTGCTTAATAATTAGTCTCATTAACAACAATTATTAACAACATGTATGGATTTCAATGCATAAAATAAGTTAACACAGTCATCTTTCACACTTAAGTACTATGACTTGGTTAAAAGTAAGAAAAGAACGTGACTTACAAACGATTACTCTGTTATAAATCAACGGAAGTCCTTTTTAGATATTGCTCTAGTAAAAGAAACTTCAAATAAACTCGTTTTTAACAACAACAACAGAAAAAAACTGACATTAGTCCAATGCTAACTAAGCAAACGCGTCATGAACATTCACATAATTTCTCTGTACTTTTTCGTCATGTACTACTTTAGCAACTAACTAAACAGAAAGCATTAGTAATTTATTGTGAAGAAGATAAGAGTCATTGCCGGAAAACATGAAACTAATCTTATCTCTACTATGTTCACTATAATTTCTAGTACTGGCGATACGAATAAAAATATTAAGAATATGTTATCAGTGGATAATATTATTTATTATATAATAGGCCAATGTTACGCGTATTGATAAACTGCAACGTATGAAGCTTGAGTCACATAAAAAAAATTCACACACTTCTTTTCCAAAGTAACCCAAAAATAAAGCTTTCAGAACAACAAACCGATTTTCCCTTTACATATCTATAAATTATTAAACAGTGATTTAAATAAGTATTACTTTAACAATAGCTATTAGTTCACACTATTGTGTCATATAATAATATGTACGGTTATCATAATATTTATAATAAAGTATATTTTTATGTCCACACACACATACATACACTATTACATAAACTATGTGCAAATGAATTACAAAGAACAGTTCATACTAGTTTTAATCTGTATAATAACTCTTATAATACAGTAAATTCAGCTTTGTTGATCATTTATCTTATGACATTATAGCTCCTCCCCGTGATTTCAAAGAATGTAGAACAGTCGTGTAAAAGCGTTTTCCTATACTATTTGTGTGCTTTACACTGAAGCCTAAACGATACCTAACTCCATTTAAAGTATATAGAAAGAGATAGGGACATATGATTAGAGATATATATCAGAATCTCAGAGAAAAGTTGAGGATAACTTCTATTTTAAAAAATTAACGTTTCATTACGTATATATATATATATCTTCGTTAGTTTTAAAAGACAATATGAGACTATGTTAAACATCCATATTGAATTACCTTACGTTTTCCATCCTCTGTCCTCTATTCACAAACATTTAATTATTTATTATTCATGTAATACGAATAAAAATGCAATAACACATATTGCAGATCATTCTGTTTTTGTTTAATTCATTGAATATCTTCCTTCACAAGGTTAGAAACTGTTTTAAAGATGCGAATTTGAAGTATTCTCATAAAAATCTCTTTCCAAGTTATGGATTACACCCCAATCACAGCGTGTTTCAACGACCGAGAATATGTAAACAGCTAGCATAGAATTCTTAGTTTCATTTTACTTTAAAAGTCTACCTACCTTTGTGGAGATTAAACATTCAGTCCTATGGGATCACAAGTATGTTACAATCGTCCTCATTTCTCCTTGTTTCCTTGATTGTGTATAGGCTGCGATATTTGACGTAGGCCTATCTTTAAGTAAGTACTGCAACTATCTGTCCAACTTGTGAAGAATTGTTAGTCCATAAAATATAACTGTGAAAAAGGAAGGGCATGAATTTAAGTTCATTAAATAATTTTTAATTTTTTAAGTGTGTTTTATGTGCGTAGACACTAAATATTCTGGGTAATTATTTAAATGTGTTAAATACAGTATCTATAAAAAAAAAGCCTTTGTTTTGACTGAATGGACAAATTAATAACGTAAGATTTAAAATGGTTGCAAATAATTAATGTGTTTATAAGGGGAGCATGGAATACTGAATTCCTAGCTCTGTTGTGAAAGTCTGAAAAGAAATTAATGTAGCAGTTGCTACCACAACTTCGAGTGCCGGAAAAAACACTATTGACCTGTTATTCAGGCAAATTTTCTTTACGTTCGCAGATACTATTTATATCACATTCACTACCTTAGTTTTATTTTTGGAAATCAGATGTAAATTTACACCATAAGAATGTGGTAGTTAGAGGAGGTGAAGTTCTAGAAATGTGAAAATATTCCATTGTAATTCGTACAAATATTTCAAGCTTCCTAAATAATATTATTCAATAGTATAATTACAAACACTTAAACTTAGTTTACAGGCTACAACATAACATGATGGAGTACCTTCCTTTCTAAAATAATGTGCGTTCTACGGTTTCGAAAAATATTTTTTTTTTTTGTACATTAAGTTATTTTATCCTCTTTGTGTCAGTTTATAACCCTCCATTGTTTTGCTCCTTCTTCGAGTTCAGATTATATCTGCACAAGTGTTTTATGATTTTAATAATAACGTAACCACTTAAGCATTTCTATTCGCGAAAAGTGAATTAAAACTACGTAGGTGTGGGAGCCATGCAGGTGGTTTCTTTAGTGCAAGATAGAAGTGTTTTTCCTAAATATACATTCGTGGTCTTTACTAAATTTTTCACTGGAGTTTTAAAGGTACTTTTTTTGGCGACAGACGGCCGACTTGTTAATTTAACGTCAGTTCAACAGCTAAGTAAACACTAACGCGTGTCTATTAATTTCCTTTCCTAAGCACCGAGCACAGTTACGTTTATTAATCTATATAATTTATAAGTCTGACAAACCAATACCGATATTAGTGCACTTAAGCATCGTATGGAAAGAGCGGAAATTGCTGCCTCACGAAAAACTTTGAAAATGTTATGGTACATGCACGCTTTTCAAAATTGTAACTTTTCCAAAATCATGGCACGTGAAATGGTCTATTCAATCGTTAAGTCACCACAGAATGATACACACAAAACCGTCCTCGTGACTGTAAGCTATAATTAAAATAGCTGGACTAAAATATATCAAAAATATTTTTACAGGTTTTTTTTAAAAAATCCACTATACGCTTTTAGATTGGAAAGAGACTGTTTATAGAAACATTTCAAATTCATATGGAATATAGATTTAATACCCACTTTTGTATGAAACACAAAAACTTTCAGTATGAAAAACTGCAATTTCATTGAGATTAAACGGTGAATTTATTGGATATTCAACTAATTTTCACTATAACAAAAACTTATCTCGCCAAGTAAACCTTTCAGAATTCTTTTTTATAGCATTCGGAAACTAATGCTGGTCTCGGTCATTATCACAAGTTAAAAAACAGTGCACAATTGAACGTTCAGTTTAGTAACCTGTCAAAGCTTTAATCTCTTGCACAAGTGTTAATTGTTACAACCACTTTAAAGCTATTTTTGTTTATGATCGATAATTGAATTATAATTCGAAATAACATACTAGCATATAATGGCAGGTGTAAATATTACGTACTTTAATTAATCTTTTACGCAAGACAGTGTTATGCAACGTTAAAGCATTTTATCACGTTGAAACCATAACATAGAAAAGCCAGACTTAATCAACATGTCTAGATGTGGTATTCTATAGTGTGTCCGAAAAGTCTGGAACCATATGCACTTCAACAGATTTTAGAGAATGTGTTTACCCATGCTTTTCTTGTATTTTGAAAAAGTTTGGATTAACAGCAGGATTAACTCGACCTTTTCATGCTTCTACAGCGCCATAACCAGTGACGTATTTGAACTTAAGAATAGATGAAAATCGCCTATGGTTCCAGACTTTTCGGACATTCTCTATTATACTACAGTCACTGAAGCCTTCAATTATGTACGCTGCAGATTTGTTTGGTCGTTTTTGTATCAGGTTATATGTCTAAGAAACCACCCTCGCTTACCTGTAAACGTGACTTTAGGTG